GGGATTAACTTGGGGAAACTTTGCTTTGAATGGGGCCATAGAACCTGCAAACCAGCCCATGCTGATACCGTCAGGAACCACCTTCTATGAGCCTGATTTCAGACTCACTGTTATGATGTATTTGTTTATGGACCATCACATGATCTCTATACAGTGGTAGCCAACTTCTTCTGTTTCATGACCTCTTCCCTTGGCTCCTTCTCTGTCTATGTGCTCTGAACCACAGCCTGACATTCAGATAAGAATGCAAGTGACTGGGGTGCCTGGGTGGCTCAGTCAGTTAAGCGTCTGCCTTCGGCTCAGGTCATGATACCAGAGTCCTGGGATCGAGCCCCATATCGGGCTCCCTGCTCAGCGGGAAGCCTGCTTCTCTCTCTCCCTCTCCCCCTGCTTGTGTTCCCTCTCTCGCGGTGTCTCTCTCTGTCAAGTAAATAAATAAAATCTTAAAAAAAAAAAAAAAGAATGCAAGTGACTCTTGCCCAGGCTCAGAGCCTCCTGGAATCGGCATCATGGCCTCCAAGATTGTTGGTGCTATATGGTACCCAAGAGTCAACCAGCATGCTTGCTACTGGGAGTGGGAAAGGGGAAAATGAAGGGGGAAGAAGCCCAGCCTCCTGCATAGATGTCACAGTGTGACATTTGACAGTGTGACCTCCTACTCATAGCGTATCTGTCCTAGTGTGCAGCTGGAGAAGTCTCTCTGAACTTTCATTCATTCATTCATTTGCTTGAAAAGTATTTACTGAGAGCCCTTATTGTGTATCAGGCATGGTAATCGACATTAGGGACAGAGTGATGGGCAAAAGGCAACTTCCCTCATCTCCGAAGCCTACAGTCCTAGTGGAACACCCATGTGTTAATACCACTCCATCCATTTCGCTATTATCTACCCAACCAAACTTGTGATAAATGCTAAGACGATAGTATAAGGGGGCACCCAGGTGAAATTTGGAAGTTAGGGGAAAGCCTCTCTATGTGACATTTAATCTCTTCCTGTAGGATGAGCAGGAAGTAGCTAAGTGAAGTCTGCAGGAAGAGGTGACTCAGGGCAGGGGCATGCGCGTGGGGGCTGAGGCAAGAGAATTTGGTTGTTCTCAGCATGAACCAAAGGCTACTGATGGGGGTGCTCAGAGCGGAGGCTGGAGGGGCAGGAAATGGGAGGTCACAGAGGGCCTTGTGCATCTTGTTCAGGAGTTAAGGTTTTTAGACTTAATTCGGGAAGTCACACCTTTTACAAGAATCACTCTGGCTGCTGGAACTGAATTGGAGGGGCCAGAGTGGATACCAGGAAGCCAACGGGAAATGCTGGCCAGGACAAGGGGTGTCAGTGATAGAGTTGGAGATGGAGGACGGGTGGGAAAGAAATTTAGGAGGTTGAATCAAGAGTGCTTGGTGAATGGTTGGGTGTGGAGTGAGATGAAAGAGTCAACAAGGAGCCTCAGGTTTCTGGCTCGGGCAACTGCATTTGGGGCTTTTCTTGCAAACCCAGACATTACTCTTGATCATGTCTGCTCTTCTGGTGTTATCATTACTGTGATAACTAGGGAGTTATCCCTAAAATAGTCCAGATACCATGTCAAAGGAGAGAAGACTGGGAAGATAAGACAGAGAGGTCTTTTCTTTCTACTCTTAGAAATGCATTTCTCGCTAGAAAAGAAATAAAAAGACTCAAACAGCTTCCCAATGGCAAAATTCTGCTATCCTAAGTGGCGTTTTGGTTTCTGTTTTTCTGTTAATATCTTATGAATTTGAAACCTAGTCTCTTCTCTTGGTACACTGGAGGGACATTTATAAAGACCATTTTCCATTTTGGGTCATTAGCACAGGAAGTCCTGAGATGTCCCCCTTCCGGTTTAAAACAGTTATCCCCCGTCTTGCATCCTCCAAGACTACATGATTGCTGAGTAAGACACGGGGCTTTATCAATTCCCCCATTCCCTAAAGGTACTCAAGGGCAGAGGGGAAGAGAACACAACTGTGTAAACTTCTTTTGTACTCATTGGAAATAATGGCTACTATTATGGCTTCAAGTTCAAGGATGATGACAGTGGAAACCTGGCCATATCACCATAATAGCTTTATTAATAGCTGAGAGGGAAATTGCCTTTAATCTTTCAACAATCATAAATGACCTTCCCATTCACAAGGGCATTTTCAACTTCCACGAAATTCTGAGTAAGTTCCAAAAAAGAAAAGCTGTGGTCATTTGAACTATGTCCCCTGGCCCCCCTCAAATTTTATGTCTAAGTCCTAACCCCTAGTATCTCAGAATGTGACCTCTTTTGAAAAATAGGGCTATCGCAGATGTTCTTAGTTAAGATGAAGCTTCACTGGAGTAGTGTGGACCTTTGATCCAAAATGACTGGTGTCCATGTAAGAAGAGAAGAGAGACATGGAAGGAGGACAGCCATGTGACATTGGAGGCAGAGATTGGAGCGATGTATCTACGAACCAAAGTACACCAAGGATTGCCAGCAATCACCGGAAGCTGGAAGAGGCAAGTAGGGACCCTCCCATCAAGGTTTCAGAGGGAGCATGGCCCTGCAGATACCTTGATTTCAGACTTCTAGCCTCTAGAACTATGAGACAATAAACTTACATTGTTTTAAGCCACCTAGTTCATGGTACTTTGCTATGGTGGCCCTAGGAAACTAATATAGTTGTAATATTTGAGAATACCTTGGAGGGGAAAACTGTTTGTGACCTTCATTAACTTTTGATTCTGTCAACAGAACACTACCAAACTGTGTGAGCCTCACATAGATCCATAATTACGAATGCTACTGAAAATTCTACCTTTTCCTTTTACCAAAACAATCAGGAAACGAATGAGCTTCTACCAGACAAGGAATGAACGTGGCTTCAAGGGGAATGAGCTGTACCTGCCCCCTCACCATTCTTTTGAGGGGGTACCTTCGTGGAATGATCCTGCTTTTGGATATTTGTCCCCATGCCTCAACAAACTCAAGCATAAATACCGTCCTATAAACATCATGGTCATGGTCACAAAACAGGGTCCAATGTGACAAAGCTAAAATTGTCCTTGGCAAACTTGTGCTGATTTCCACTTTGTCCTTATTAAATAACACTCTGACATACCATTTTGTTCAGTTTGGGGTTTTTTTGAGAGAGAGCGAGCCCGAGCGGAGGCAGAAGCGGAAGGAGAGAGAGAATCTCAAGCAGACCCCACGCTCAGCGCAGAGCCCGACTAGGGGCTCGATTCCAGGACGCTGAGGTCATGACCTGACCCAAAATCATGAGTTGGATGCTTAACCGACTGAGCCACCCAAGCGCCCCCATGTTGTTCAGTTCCTTAAAAACACATAATCAAAGATAATGCATCCTGCAAGATTAACTAAGAGACTACTTAAGGATGGATCGTGCATCGGGGAGTTTTCTTCCTTTCCTTCCGAAGGGAATTTTTTAAAGCTTGGCTAATTTCCAGTTATTCTCAGGTAAATTTTCTAAGGTGCCTCTTCAAGATTCATACCTGTAGTGGAGAGAGGATGCCATAAGCTGTGGCAGAGGAACCAGGGGGGTAGTAGAGGTGGTTGTTTCCTTTGGGAGAACTGCACAAAGGGGACCAAGAGGTAAGGCCTTCTGACTTTGTCTTCTGAGTGGGGAGTAAAGATAGAATTAATTCCTCTATTAATAATTACCTTAATATATAAACTTCATCAAAACTGTTTGCCCTTTGGTTTTTGTTTTTTTTTAAAGATTTTATTTATTTATTTCACAGAGTGAGAGAGCGAGCACAAGCAGGGGGAGTGGCAGGCAGAGGGAGAGGGAGAAGCGGGCTTCCCGCAGAGCAGGGAGCTCAACATGGGGCTTGATTCCAGGACCCTGGGATCATGACCTGAGCCAAGGGCAGATGCTCAACCAACTGAGCCACCCAGGCGCCCCATGCCCTTTGGTCTTTAGCAAAGATTTTTTTTAAGTATACCCAAAAAACCCAGTGTAGATGGCAATTTCTTTTACATTATAGATCTATTTCCCTACTGTATATTTAACATATGCTCGCCATGTGAAATGAAGTATTCTTAATCATTCAGGATTTACAGCAATGGCAATCGGCAGATACTTCAAACGCATCTAATTTGGCTGCATACTTTAAAAAAAGAAATGGTTAAGAGATAAAAAATAACTGAAAATATCCCTCTTAGCCTTTAAACGTCATCTAAACCTTAGAGGTCAAATATTATAGCCAATATTTATAAAAGTAATTGTAAAAGAAAGACTAATGCGACCACAGCATAATATAACCCTGTAGCAATGGATATATGATAAATCTAAAGAGCAACTTGACATCAGAACCATGAGTTATAGTGACAAAAGTTCTTAGATATTGAAAAGAAGGTGTAGCAAGCCAGCTGTTAAGCTGGCCCACGATAATCCCTGCCTCCTGGTATTCACAATCTATGACCAAGGTGGCAGGCCAACCGTGGCCATTTTGGTCATAGACTAGTTTCCCTGGACTGAGGTGATGACTCCCACAGAGCTGGCAGGACCTGCGATTTACTTCTAACAAACAGAATATGGCCCAAATGTTGGGATATCACTTCCCTGGTTAGATTATCAAAGATGGCGACTTCCGCCTTGCTAGCAACCTCTCTCTCGCGCGGGCTTTGATGAAGTAAGCTGGCACGTGGGAGAGATCCCTGTGGCCGGAAACGGAGAGCAGCCTTTGACCGACAGTGCGGGAGGAACTGAATCCTGCAAACAACCACATGAGTTTGAGCTTGCAAGTGGATCCTAAGCCTGGGAGATGCCTGTGGCCCTAACCGACGACACCTAGCCTGAAGCCTTTGAGAGACGCTCTCGCTCAGCGGAAGACTCAGCCAAGCCTCACCTGCACTCCTGACCAGAGATAGTAAGATCAGAGTGTGTTACTGTAAGCCACTAAGTTTGGGGGTAATTTGTTACACAGCAATAAATACCTAAGACCGAAGGGTAATTGCTTTGCATTTTTACTATGTTGGTGAACCGTGGCTTAACACCAGTTAGTACTGTCTAATGGAATCAACATACAAATTGTTATACCGGGAATTGTTTTCAGTTAAGACCACATTTTTCAGACTTTGCCAAAACAGGCCTTCCGCCTTGGGGTTGTCCGGCCACTGAAGGATGGAGCTCTTGCAGATCCTCTGCCGCAGCCTCAAATACTGAGAATGCTGTAACACTGGCTCCAGCAGAATAAATATAATCACATCCATATTCTCATCCATGAGCCGCTGCAAGGCCAAGTAGAATGCCGTTTTAAAGTTCCAGTTTTGGGCATATTCTTTGGTTAAGACGAATATGGTTTTCTTGCTTTGGTTTATGCTCTGCATGAGGTTATCGATGATGGCTAATCCGGGGTCCCAGTCCCTCTCCTCTAAACAGAGGAGCACATTTTTCCCTTCACTCTCCTCTAGGTGGAAGCGCAGCTCATTTATCACCCAGTCGGTAACAGAGGCATCTTTGGTGTCATAAGAAACGTAGGCATCGTAGAAAGTTTGGGATGTGGAAAGAGACCTGTAGCCTTTTACCTTAGCTAAACACACATGATAGATAAACCAAACATCCCAGTAAAACCAGTGGTGACCCAAGGCAGCCAGCATCACAGTGATGGTGATTAAGGACGTGAAGAAACAGAGCACCGCCGCAATGGTATCTGAAATACAAGTTGTTAGCTCCAGACTCATGATGCTCTTCCCTCTTTGATCCCCAGGACTAGAGCAGACGATGTCTGTCAACCTAGGGATTGTGACATTCAGATTTTCATCCATCCATCTTCGAAAATCTCCAATGTCACAGGTACAGTCAAAAGGGTTTCTACCTAGTTCCAAAATGGTTAAACTGGTGTTGGTCTTAGTTTGAAGCGTGGATTTGTTGATCATCTTCAGCAGGTTGGAACTCAAATCAAGGTGGACCAGACCGCTGGCTTCGGAAAGAAAGCTGGAGGGCAGGTGAGAAATCCTGTTTCGATGCAGTAGCAGCGTCCGCAGGGAAGGTGTGAATTTGGAGAGGCTGTTAGTTATAGAGGATAGCCTGTTTCCACTCAAGTCCAGCACCTGGAGATGTGGAAACTGTTGGAGTAATGTCCAGTTAAAGAAATTTAACACGTTATCATTTATGTAGAGTTGGGTGAGACTCTGGGGCAAGTTCAGGAAAGCTTCGTTTGGGATGCGCCTAAGGTTATTCAAGGATAAATCGAGCCGTGTCAGATTCCTGAGACTTGTAAAAATTTTCCAGTACTTGTCACCTTCAGCATTCCACAAAATGTCAAGGCGGTTTCCACTGAAAACTAATTCTTCCAGGGACATGCTTTTCAGGTCTTGCTCCGTTAAAGTATAAATGCTGTTGTGGCTCAAGTTTAAAACTTTCAGTTGTGTTAAATTTTGAATAAATCCCAGGCGGTGCGTCACCCCTGCTATTCGGAAGTAGTGTGCATTGTAGCTGAGATCTAGAACTTCTAACTCGGGCAGATCACTGAGAGCGTTGTCATCGTCAAAGTCTAGTCTATTGTTTGTCAGATCCAAATATTTGATATGCGGCACGGCTGAAAATTCAGTCCCATGTAGCACTTGACCGTTGCCATTTGAAGACAGATTTAAGCAGGCGATGTCATGAAAAGCTTCAAATTGCTCTCGCCCAATGAAGAAAATACTGTTCAGGCTTAAATCTAAGGCTTTGCCATAAACTGAACATTGTGGCCTTATTAAAGGATTGGTGTTATGATAAAAATTTGAATGTGGGTCAAACTCAACATCCGCTGAGCGTGGCTTAAGGACATGACTTGGAGAAGAGGAACCACTTAGGTCATTTTGCTGGATATCATTTACCAAGGGTGATATTCTGTTTTCTGACAAGTAAATGATCGTCAGGTTGGAGAAATTACGGAAAAGTGTAAAATTGATTTGCTTAATAAAGTTGACACCCAAGTTGATAGTCTTTAGATTTGAGAGACTCATCAGGGGCTGGAAGTCTTCTGCTCTAAGTTCCTGGAACACATAACCTCTTAAGTGCAATGCCTGGAGCAACTTAAGATTAGAGAAGTTTCGGGAAATATTAATATATTTTGGATATTTCGCCTTTACGTAGTTAAAAGATAAGTCAAGAATTTCCAAGGAGGGCAGTTTTGTTAAAAATTCCCCAGAGGCCATCTCGTCAACTAAATAATTGAATTCCAGATGCAGCACCTTCAGATTATGCATATTCTCAAACCACGTTGCCGGAATCTTCCGGAGGGAAGTGCTAGAGAGGTTCAGGTAGCGAAGTTCTGTCAGGGTTTGAAAAGCAAGAGGATGGATCTGAATTGAAGAACCTCCTTCACACGGTGTACAGGGAAATGGGGCGTTGAAACACCTCGGACAGTTCCCGCTTAAATCTAGCACTCTTAAATTTCTCAATCCCTTGAAATCTTCCTGACTGATGATTTTAATCTTGGCATTGCTAAGATAAAGTTCTCTTAAGGAGTCTGGCAGTTTAGGTGGCACATGGACAAGCTTATTAAAAGACAGTGACAGCACCTTCAAATTCGTAAGACTTGCAAACGTTCCGTCTTCTATGTCGAAAGTTTTATTATCACAATTATTGCCAAAATAGCAGTTCCAGCTCAAGTAGAGCCTTTCCAGATTCGTAAGCCCAGAAGTGTTCTTTTTAGTTACCCAAATTATGTTGTTTTGAATTAGACTAAGTTCCTTCAAAGACCCTGGCAAAACAGCAGGTATTTGGTATAACTGGTTGTCTTCAAGCAGTAACTGGTTTAGGTTTTGTAGGTTGAGGAACGCCCCATCTGTGATATTCATGCCATTTTTGTTTGTATCAGGATTTTCATTCAGGTGTTGTGGGTTGGCATTGTGGTTTAGATTTATTTTAGTAAGATTCTGCAGCCCTTGAAATGATTCATTTGTTATGTGTGTGATGTAATTATCAGACAGGTCTAGTTCTGTCACATACTTGCCCACTGTTTGGGGAACTTCTTGCAGTCGACGGCTGTTGCACTCTGCTATAACAGAGCCATTTTGTCTTCTCTCATCACAAGGATAGCTTCTAGAATAATTTGCTTTGGTGAAGAACTCATAGGAATCAGAGATGCGCAGGAAAAGGCAGGTCAGAAGCAAAAACCGGAGGGTCATGTTTTCCTAAGGAAAATCAAAAGTGGAGGCATGAAGTTAGATTTGCAGTGTTGACTAGGCATTTCACCATGAAATTAACGGTGCTTCACCACACTGTGCATGTGTTTGGAAGTGTGAATTCTCTTACCAATTAAACGAACTGTGTTAAATTAGGTTCGGAACAATTTCATTTTTTTAAAAAATTTTTTTTTCTTTTTCAAATTTGTATGTACATTCTGGTTAGTTAACATACGGTGCAATATTGGTTTCAGGGGTAGAATTTAGTGATTCATCACTCACATACGACACCCGGTGCCAGGTTTGGAACAATTTCAATTTCTCACCGCATTCAGCTTCAAGGTGCTCAAAGAAGTCGAAGGTGAAACTATCTGAGATGATGATGGTGATAAAGCCCGGGAAGCTTTTGCAGAGGCATTCATCGAGATGCCCCATCACCATAACGGGTCTGATGCTGGCCTATGACTACGGTTCATGCTAGATCTGTAGCACAGCAAGCTATAGATTCATAGCTTCGACCTATTAGCAGAACTCTTGATGAAAGTTGGCCCATCCCAAGGAGAATTCAGATCCAGCTTTCATTATGGTATCATCTGAGATCTGCAAGCCAGAGTCACCTCTACCTTATCTATATCACCATCTCTCTACACAACCGTATCCCTCATTGGCCTTCCCCACAGTTTTTCTCTACCTCTCCGGTGGTATGTATGCAGATCTCTTCTCCCCTGGCGTGATGGGGACACCTTCTGTTAATAATGATAACAAAGTATCAGGTAGTGTGCTAACCATAAACATTTTCTCACCCGTGTTAATGCCCGGAGCAACACAATGAGATAGGTTCTATGTTATCCACATTTTGTGAGGGGAGAAACAAACTCAAGACACTTCAGTGGCTTTCAGAAGGATGATACATTGTAGAGCTGGATTCCAGTCATTCTGATTCCAACAGTAGCCATGATGCTACACCACCTCACTTTGAAGTCTTTGTGTCAGAACAGTACCTCCACTGTAGATGGCATTCAAAAAAAATATTGTGGAATGGCTACCAGTCCCCCAATGTCCCTTATCATATGAACATTGGCGTTAATAGCTATTCTTTGGCTAATATTGTAAACTTCTGTAGGGAAGACATGATGTTTTATGTTTTCATGCAACCTCTGTAACACTTAGTAGAGCGCCTCACTTTCTGCAGCTCTCTCTTAACCGAGGGCCGAATATATTACCTTTGGTAGTTATACAATGCAATAAACAGATTAATGTGATTGGTGCGATGAGCGTTGTGGTCAAAAGAACTCTCAAAATCTTATTTCACTGGGTCTGGAGACCAACCTTCACGAAATTGTATTTTTCACTAGAGCCCAACTCCTGTCCTTCTTGTGAGTTTGGCCAGGTAAGCGCTTCCTTTTTAAGTTCTTCTAAAGCTGAGGGTTAATGAACAGTCACTGTCATACCCTTAGTCTGTGGGTAGTGATTCTTCTGAGGATCAGGGATCACTGCCAGTTCATAGCAGGCGAGGAAGAGCCAGTTGCTGCAGAGATGAAAAATCAGGCGAAACAGAACTCCCAGGCATTCTCAGTTACTTGCAGTTATTTTCAAATACAGCGCTCTCCAGGTGCCGCTGCTTGATGTTTTACTTTTACTAAAAGAAAGCCGCGCTTTACCTGGATTCTCAGAGGGCCCCTCTAACCTTCGCTGCCTCCTACTACTGCTGTCGCCGCGCTATGTCATGCAGCCAAAGGGAGATTATCTAGGTGGGCCTAATTTAATTGTCTGTGTCTTTAAAAGCAGAGAGTTTTCTCCAGCTAGCAGCAGAAAGGAGAATCGGAGAGGTTGCAGGCAGGAGAATAATTGGACTCACTCTTGCTGACTTAAAGGTGGAGGGGGCCACTGACTAGGAACGCAGGCAGCCTTCAGAAGCTGAGAACGCTGCTCTGCTGACACCTGGCAAGGAAACGCCCCCTCCCCCATGCTACAACCACAGAACTCAAATTGACTGACGACCTGAATGAACTTGGAAATGGATCCTCACTCCCAGCCTGGCCAATACATCGATTTTAGCCTTATGAGATCTAGAGCAGAGAACCCAGGCAAGCCCACCCGGACTCTGACCTACAGAAATTTGAGCTGATAAATGGTATTGTTTGTAGCTTCTAGTAATATTAACTTGACGCGTTAACTTTGAGTTTGTGATCTTGCAGTGGAGAGGTCCAGTAGGCAGTTACATATACACCCCTTTGGCTCAGAGGAGAGCGCTCACGGAGGGATGAACTTGGGAGTCGTGGCGAGTACAGTCCCAGGTATGAATCAGATCATCCAGGGTAACGTATGCCATAAAGGACACTTGACACTTCATTGCTATCAACAGTAATTTTCTCATCTTTTTTTTCTGATAATTTCATGATTTCATTTTCTTACACTAAAATATCTTATCCCACTGGGATTGTTTTGGCATAAAATACGAGGGGCAGACCCACATTATTTTCTTTCTAAATGGAGACCTGCTGGCCCCAACATCATTTACATATTTATTTATGTTTTTTTACTGAAATAGAGTTGACACACAATGTTACATAGTTTCAGGCGTACAACACAGTGATTCGACAAGTCCATACGTTATGCTGTGCTCCCCACAAGTGTAGCTCCCGTCTGCCATTATACTGCGCTATTACAGTACCTCTGACTACATTCCCTACGCTGTACCTTTCATCCCCATGACTTATTCATTCCGTAACTGGAAACTTGTACCTCCCACTCCCCTTTGCCCATTTTGCTCATTCCCCCACCACCCTCTCCTCTGGCAACTACTAGTGTGTTCTCTGTATTTATGGGTCTGTTTCTTTTATTTGTTCATTTGTTTTGTTTTTTAGATTCCACGTGTAAATGAAATCCTATAGTATTTCTCTTTGACTTATTTCATTTAGCATAATACCCTCTAGGTCCATCCACAATGTCGCAAATGGCAAGATCCCATTCTTTTATAGCTGTGTGTGCACACTCCATCTTCTTTATCCGTTCATCTATCAGTGGACACTTAGGTTCTTTTCTCTGCATCCCATCAACATGGTTTTTTTTGGTGTGTGTTTTATTTTAGCCATCGTGGTGGGTATGAGGTGAGCTCTCTTGGTGGTTGTGATTAGCATTTCCCTGATGATGAGTGATGTGGAGCATCTTTTCATGTGTCTGTTGGCCATCTGGATGTCTTCTTTGGAAAAATGTCTATTCAGGTCCTCTGTCCATTTTTAATCAGACTATTTTTTTGGTGTTAAGTTCTTTATGTATTTTGGATATCAACCCTTTATCAGACATACCATTGCAAATATCTTCTTCCATTCAGTAGGTTGCTTTTGTTCTGCTGATGTGCAACATCATTTGTTGGATAATTTTTTGCTCACCAACTTGATATACTCCTTTTATCATATACTAACTTTCCTGTGTATTTAGATCTATTTCTAGACTCTCTGCTTCATCAATCTGTTCATCATTCACGTGCTGGCAGCACATGTTTTAATAATTACAGTTTGGGAGGATGTTAGTATCTGATAGGGCGAGTCCTGCTCATTGCTCTCCTTTTGTGAATGGATTACTTCTATTTTACCCTCTAACAGGTCCTTGCTGATATACACTAAGACTACTGATTTCCATATATTAATTTTATACCAAATCACTATACTAAATTCTCTGGTTATTTAGAACAGTTGTTTCTGCCTGTAATTTTCTTGGGTAAGCAATTAAACCATCTGCAAATAGCGATTATCTTCCTAATATCCTTTATGCAGTCTAATTTATTTTTATTGTCTAACTGCATTGCCTAGTTAATCCAGAACAATGAAAAAATAGAACAGAAGCCAAAAAAAAAAAAAAAAGAAAGCAGAGACTGACCAATGCAACCACATGCAAATTAAAATTTTGCCTCACAACAAAACATGGCAAACAATGCCAAAAGTGAAACAATAAATTAGGAGAAACTATTTGCAGTCCTTATCACAGATAAGGGAGTAAGAGATTTGACACATAAAGACATTTTATGCATAAGTAAGAAGACAAATAACCCAACAGAAAAATGGACAAAGACATAGTAAAAGACAGCTCACAGGAAAAGGAAACACAAATAGCTTTTTAAACGTAGGAAAAGATACTCAACCTCACTCAAAAAATTACACCAAGGTACCATTTTTTTTTTTTTTTTTTTTTTTTACCAATTCTACTGTGTAGGTGAGGACATGGAGAAACAGGTGTTCTCAGATTTTGCTGGCAGGAATCTAAATTAATGCCACCTTTAAGACAGTAAGAAATTCGTAATATTTATCAAAATTGGAGACATAGGGGCGCCTGGGTGGCTCAGTCGGTTAGGCCTCTGCCTAACCTCTGCCTTCAGCTCAGGCCATGATCCAGGGTCCTGGGATCGAGCCCCGCATTGGGCTCCCTGCTCAGCGGGGAGTCTGCTTCTCCCTCTGACCCTCCCCCCTCTCATGTGCTCTCTCTCTCTCATTCTCTCTCTCAAATAAATAAATAAATAAATAAAATCTTTAAAAAAAAAAGATTTTATTTATTTGAGAGAGAGAGAGAGCACAAATGGGGAGGGGCAGAGGGAGAGGGAGAAGCAGGCTCCCCGCTGAGCAGGGAGACCGATGCGGGACTCGATCCCGGGACTCCAGGATCATGACCCGAGCCGAAGACAGCCGCTCAACCAACTGAGCCACCCAGGCGCCCCTCAAATAAATAAAATCTTAAAAAAAAAAATTGGAGACATAGACTCAGCAATTCCTAGAAGTAGATCCTAAAGATAGACCCTCACATACGCAAATGACTACGCACAAGGATGTTCAACGTAAGGCTGTTGGCAATAGCAAAAGATCCGAAATCATCCAAATGCCTTTGAGTAGTGGTCATACAAGGGAATACCGTGCAGCAGTTCAAAAGCTCTATAGTTATGTATTCATTCATGCAAAAGTATTTATTAAGCATATGCTTTACGTCAGGAATTATTTTCAAGCTGGGAACAT